AATTACAAATAATTATAAGAATAATTAAATTACATTCTTATTAATCGATTATTACAAAACAATTGTTCTCAACATTTTTTAAAACCTTATTTCATACGATCCTATGAAATCCTGTGAATCCCGAGCACTCCCTAAGGATTTCAAAATCTTATATTTGTAGGATTTCAATTAAATCCTAGAATTTCAAATCCAGACAATCCAACAAACCAAACATGGTATTGGAATGGATTTGAAATCCAAATTTCCCCAAATCCATTCCACTCCTGCAAAACAAATGAGACCTTAAAGTCAAATTCCTTTGACAGATTCTATTCCTTCAGAAAACATCTTGTGAACCAAATGCCCATTGGATTGTACTGAATCTAAGTCTGGTTGCACAAACTATAACTCTGGTTGCACAGTCTATAAATCTGATTACACAAACCTTAAGTTTGATTGCATAGATCAGATTTTAGACTTGGTCAAAATTCATCCAACTAAGGTTTCTAACCTTATGAAATTCGTCCAGATCATCCCTAAGCTAAAATTCTCTAAGTCTAACTCTTATTAAAGCCCATAAACCTCGGGGTGTTGTCCCGAACCACAATGGGGGCTCTGCCCCTAGACACTGCCTTATGGCGATCTAAGGTGATAGGGGCAACAGTGTGCACTCCGCACCTCCTAACTCACTTATATTTGTCTTATCACTTTAATTGATCTCAAGTAAATTGAAATTACACTAAAATCACCAACATTCCTCCCTCATTTTGGTGTAATACTTTGATTCACAACACAAAACATAAATACATAAATCAAACATATGCATATATGAAAATGTCAAGAAGATTGAGTTTCCATCTTACTATATTATACATTCCAAATATCCGAGAATTGGGGTGTCCTAAGAATTAAACCCGTCAACCCATTTGAATATCTGAAGATTATAAACACATGAGTTTGTACAAATCTAGATAATGAACTTGACACATTTGTAGAGGCATTGCGTCCTTATCCATTCATGAACGTATAGAAAGTGAAATCGAAAACTTTCTTGAAGCGGCCACACTTTACGTCCATATATAGGTTGTTCTTTTAAGTCTTATACCTGCATATGCAATTTTTCAAAAGAATCATTAAGAAAAAATTTCAACACTTCAACACTTGCAGGTCTAAGCACATACCTTGGGATGTAATCATCATGTGCTTCCGTTTCTATTAATAAGTCTTTCATATTCAATTCAGCCTTTAACGTCATATTAAAGGGGAACTGGGTATCTCATTATTAGAAATTTATAGGGACTTCAACTCATCCCACTATCACGATGAATACATAGTGATATCGGCTTCGACCATAAAGGAAACTCATAAATTAGATTCCTTAGCCACTCTGCCTCTTTATCGATGGTAGATTCCATGGTGGAATTTATGATTCAAGTTTGCTTCTTTGAGGCCCAAGAGAAAGAATGATCTTCTATATTGAATATCCAACTCGCATCCGTGTAGCCTTCAATCGCCGAAGGAAACCCAACATATGTTATGTCATAATTCATGGTTCCCATTAAGTATAAAGTATTTGAATACTTTTCTAACCGCTTGCCAATAGTGAGCACTAGGTTTACTAGTAAACCTACTCAACTTTCAATGTGCAGTCATGTGCATGCCATAATATACATCAAGCACCCAATTACCTTAGAGTATTCAAATTGTGAAACGACTTCACCCTCAGGCATAAGCTTTTCAATCTGATCCATAAGAGTACTCATGGGTGAACAATTTAACACATTAAATTTCTTAACACTTTATCAACGTAGTGAGATTTTGTTATGGTCAAACCTTTGTTCTCCCGTTTAATCCTTATCCCAAGGATTACTTCAGCCTCCCCCAAATCTTTCATTGATAATTTGGATGAAAAAAAAAGTCAACATGTCTTCGGACCAAAGATCAACATGTCATCTACATATAGACAAACCATGACTCATTTACGAGAATCATTAAATTTGCTATATACACATTTGTCCGATTGGTTTAGATGAAAACCATTGGACAAAGCCACTTCATCAAACTTTTGATGCTATTGTTGTGGGGCATGTTTTAATCCATAAAATGTGATTCGAGTAACTCACACACTTTATTTCCATTCCCCGACATCACAAATTCTTAACCACAAGGGTGGTGTTTGATTAGTTTGAGCTTGACTCCAAAGGTCAAAAGTACCAGGAGGTCCCAAGTTTAAATCCAATGAGGAATATAAATCCCCTTGTCGCCACGGAGGTTCAAATGCGGTGACTCCGGGCTATCTGCAAAGCAGGTGGTCTCCCTGGGATTAGTCGGCTCGCATAGCAAGTTGGATATCCAGATTAATAAAAAAAAATCTTTTGGTTGCTTCATATATACTTCCTCCTTTAAATCACCATTAAGGAATGACGTTTTGCCATCCATTTGGTGAATTACCAAATTGGTAGCTGCCAAAGCTATTAATAATGGAATGATAGAGATTCTAGCGACCGTTGCATAAGTATCGAAATAATCGATACCTTCTTTTTTGTCGAAATCCTTGTATTATCAACCGTGGCTTAAACTTATTGATGGAACCATCGGCTTTCATTTTCTTCTTGAAGTGACCTGTTCGACCACAAATCCAACAAGTCATCTTTGACTTCTTTTTGGGTCCATGCTTGGGGTTGTTGAACATTCATTTTTTCTCCTGTTGAGCCTTTTCTTGGTCGTGTGTTTACGCTCCTCAACCATGTTGACATTGGACAGTCCAGTGACATCCTTATCTTTGGCCTTACCACTTTCTTGCACACATAATGATTCCTCGATACGGAAGTGGCTTCCAAATTGCACCAAGGAAATTTATTCCTTTATGTTTGAGAATGTGTTTTAAAATCTTTCCACGATGGTGGAAAATTGTCAATAATACTTTACACCGAGATATATTCAACCATCTTCATGTGGTGTTAAGTAAATTGACCAAGGATCCAGAGCAATTCATTATACTGCTCTATGACGGGCCTGGAATCGACCATTTTGTAATTGTTAAAAATACTCACGAGAAACTTCTTACTCAAAGCATCCTCGGCCATGTATTTCGATTCTAAGGCGTCCCATAATTCCTTTACATATTCTACATTTTTGTAAACATCGAATAAGGCATCACAAATATCATTTAATATATGCCGACGTCATATATAGTCATCGTTCTCGCACACTTGTTTCTGTGTCTTGCCATCTCCAGCATCTCATCCGCATGCTAAGATCAAACACAACCTTCAAAGTACTGAGAAGGAAGTGCATCTTCTTTTGCCAACATCGAAGATCGTTTCCTTGAAACTTCTCCAGTTTGTCAAACTTCGAGGTCATGTTCTGAAGAGATTCTTCTCCATTTGCCTTCATTGGTGAAAACAAAAATTATTGTATTTGAATGTTATATATAGGGATTCAGAGATGATTTGTAGACTGAATAATCTCTTTGAATCGTGAAAGATCACTATCCAAATACAACAATTCGCCTCTTACTGCCTTGGGTATCACAAATTTCGTATATGGATATTCCAAGATAAACTCTTTATATCTCGAAGGCTGTGAGAATGAGTCTTTATATATACCCAGATTCTCGTTTACATATTTATATGAGAGATCGACAGTTACAGCCGGTTAAGAACGGTTATAACCGTTAATGGATAAGATTATAGAACAAAAATTGTATCCAAACTCTAATCATAACGAGTCTAAGGGGTTGTTTACTTGCGACATAATTAGACTTATTGGTCTATCTGGCTTATTTGTACAGCTCATTTGGGTTGTTTACTTACGACTTATTCGCACAGAAAATGACTTAATCACACAGATAGAAATGGTGCGTTGTCCCTATTCAGCCACAAAAATGACACCCTTACCCCTTATTTAAAGCACCACCTTCTTTCCATATGAGATACCCCATCGTCGGCCTCTTTATGATTTTTTGTTTTGATGTTCAAATAATTAAAATTGGGGGGTAAATCGATCATTTATGTTATTCAGACTGTTGGTTCAAATAAAAAAAGTAAACAACAACACTCATTTAACCAAACAGACAAATTTATCCATACAGGACTTGATAAAAATTTTGGTAAACAACCCCTAAGTCTGGGTGCACAGAACTTAAGTCTGATTGCATAGATCAAATTTTAGACTTGGTCAGAATTCACCCAACTTCAGGAACAATTTCAAGAAGGTTTCCAACCTTGTGAAATCCGTCCAAATAATCCTGAAGCTAAAACTTTCCAAGTCCAAACTCTTTTAAAATCCACAAACCATGGGGCGTTGTCCCAAACCTCGTTGGGGGCTCTGCCTCATACCCCACCTTATGACGATTTAAGGTGATAGGGGCAACACATGTAAGTGTACACTCCACACCTCCTAAGTCACTTATGTTTAGTCTTATCACTTTAATTGATCTCAAAATAATCACAATTACAACAAATGGTTGATGACATTAAAATCACCACCAATTACAAAGCAAAAAAGAAGTCTACATTTATTTTAACATAAATATAATATTTAAATAAAAATGTTTTCCATCACATCCAGACATTTACTTAAGTAAACAATGTCTGATGCTACTTATTTCATACATTTAGGGGGTGTTTGGGATTGCTTATTTGAAACGACTTATGTTTTTTTACAAAAACATTCATCAACTTATTATAAGTCAGAAGAGTTTAACTTCTTCAAAAACTCCTTATTACCAGTTTGGCACCGGTATAAGTTGTTTATCCAAACACTCAAAAATGCTTATTACTGGTACCACACTAGAATAAGTCAATAAGTTGTTTTTATAAGCAATCCAAAACATCCCCTTAAATATACATCAGGAGCACCTTATTAAACATGATGAACTTTGGCTCCAATTGTTACTTGAATAACTGAAATACGCAACACATTATTAACTCCATGTGCCCGTTTCTTTTGTTCAATTTCATGTCATTTCATTTCTTGTTTTCTGGTCATATTTACGAAAACTGAAACAAAGTAAGCTACATGAATCGACCGAGGTTTATATAACTCGTTATAATAAATACACAAACAATACACAACTGTTTGTACTTTATCAGGTTATTAAGAAAAATTAACTAGCGATGAAATGTAATGTACCATTAATTGACCATTCGAGTTTATGCCGAGTTAAGAGATCCATCCCCAGGGACTCAGCGAGTAGTTATTGTTATTCACAGCTGCCACCACTTTCGATTCTCCATTTGCTTTGCAAGCTGTTCTGCCATTGATGCGAAGTTCTCGGACCCACTTGCCAGTTCTTCCGAGTTTTCTTTTAGTTTCTGCCGTAAATTATTAAATCAAATCAGAACAATGACACCTATATTGTCAGGATCAACAAGCACTTAACTCACTCCGTGTCCACATTTCTATTTTAGTTAATCCTAGAATAAGTGTCCACTATCATAAGTGACAAATTTCCAATTCTACCCTTAGTTATGATATGGATGAATTCATATATTAAAGGTAAAATTGTCATTTAGTTAATTAGAAAGTGTAATAATTACACATTTATAAAATTGTGACTTTTTCATTGTGAACATTTATTTTAGGACGAAGGAGTATATATCATATCTGTTTTCTTCTTGAAACCGTTCCAAACCAGGGTCCATATCCAACATACAATTCTGTTACACCAATGAAATAAAACCAAACCAAAAGAACCCGTATATCTCACTCGAGAGCTCATGTGGAATGTACGACCTGTCCTCTACCCAAAAGGGTAAAGACGCTGTTTCCACGAAAACCCCCGGAGATTGTGCAAAAGTGAGTGTTACACCAAACGAAATTTAAACAAGTATTAGTCAAGAACCCATACAACTATATCTATTGTGGGGACTAATAATATCCTAAGGGTAGTGTTAATATACATCCTAATCTGTTTTCTGTCTATTCCATCTGCAAATTCCTAACATATCCAACATGCAAGTCTGTTATACCAAATGCAATATAAACAAGTATTAAAAGCCTGATCCCTGTGCACAAGGGCTCTGCAGGGGTTGGGGAGAGAATTCTTTGTACACTATTTCTATTGATTCCGTGACTTGAACTGTGACCTATCGGTCACAATAAAGTAAGATTACCACATTAAGTACGTATGACATCAAGAAAGAGATGAAGAAATGATAAGTGGATTGGCAATCAATTCCTGGATTTGCAATCACCACCACCAAGCACTGAGATAAGTAATGGTGGTTTAATCATTAGGTTTAAGTTGCCCACAATTGACATGTAAAAAATTAAGGGGTACAAGTGGGACTAGACGGCTAGTCTCGGTTGTTAATGCTTAGCGTTATTATTGCTCAAGAAACACATTCCAACATCCACATAATAGAATTTGATTGCATATAATTACTTTCATTTTGTGGATCCAATTTATGTGATATTAGAATGTGGTCCAATTTACTTGACACAAAGATGAGCCCCATAAAATGAAGAATCAAGAAAAAATATATAAACAAAAACCAGACCAGACAATCCAGTATATACCACCCGTAGGTAGGGATTTTATTTTTTTATTTTATTTTTTTGGGGGGG